AGCACGGCACGCGAGGGGGTGGGTGGCCAACACCACGCCCGGCCGCCTTTGTCTCCCTAGTTACGATGCTTACTACACACCGCACCAGGTACTCAATTGAGGCCGAGTCGACCTAGGGGAGGCCCAGGACCGGCTTAGATAATCGTCGCTACGGGGAGACCGACAAACACGCAAACTCCAAATATACAACAGCAGGCGTCAGGGTCGGGATTGAACCCACGACCTCCTGTCGACCAGTCGAGGTGGTTAACATCTCACCACGGAGAGAGAGACACGCAAACTCCAAATATACAGCAGCTGGCGTCAGGGTTTGGATCGAACCCACGACCTCCTGCACACCAGGCGAGGTAGTCAACATCTCCTAGCCACCGTGATGATGATGATGAGAGAGAGAAACGCAGACTCCAAATAAACAGCAGCAGGCGTCAGGGTCGGGATCGAACCCACGACCTCCTGCACACCAGGCGAGGTGGTTAACATCTCCTAGCCACCGTGATGATGATGATGAGAGAGAGAAACGCAGACTCCAAATAAACAGCAGCAGGCGTCAGGGTCGGGATCGAACCCACGACCTCCTGCACACCAGGCGAGGTGGTTAACATCTCCTAGCCATCTTCTTGGTTCTTTCGGTAAAGTCACGTAGAAGGTGAAGAATTCTTCACCTGAGGACGGCTGCTTGCGTTGTGGCCGAAACGTCGTGAGAATTATTTTATCATGTTTTATGTTTTATTATTTTATTACTTCCCTTCTACGTGACTTTACCGAAAGAACCAAGAAGATGAATCCCTGCAGTCACGAAAGCTTTAAATCGAAATAAAAAAATGAATTATTATGTAAATTTATAATAGTATTATAGTAAAATATTTTATTTTTTAATTATGTTATTATATTTTATTATACTATGCTATTATAGAATTTCGTTTTATTATTTTATTATACAATATTATTTTATCATACAATATTATTATATTATGTTATTTTATTATGTTGTATTTTTATTATTTTATTACTTCCCTTCTACGTGATGACTTTACCGAACGAAACAAGAATATGAATCCCTGCAGTCACGAAAGCTTTAAATCGAAATCTATCCCGTGATGTATCTGCAGCTGTTTTAGACTAATTTCAGGGTGCTGATTCCAAATCTGATCTCAATTTGCTCTATCACATCTCATTTTTATGCTATCGGCATACCCCATTTTCATTGATTTTACCCGAAATTAACTCTGTCACTTATGATTGCAAGTTGTTGCGAGTCGGTGACTGCTTTAGTGTTAAAACATGGTGCTGTATTTTTAGGATAGTGTGTTTATAATATCATTTTATGTAGATATCCACATTTATTTAATACTTTTCTTCTGCAGTTTTGATTGAAAATGCAATATTTGATATCTCAAAAACCTGATGCGATAGACAAAATCTGGTGCCAGATTTGGAATCAGCACCCCAGAATTACCTTAAAACCGTTGGAATACCTTATACCAGAATAAGTGTGTTGACCAGTGTTATCAGAGCGCGTGTTTTTGTTTGCGTACTCAACGCACGAATCGATCACTAGCAAAAAGGTTTCCGTTTGGCGTTTGAACATCTTGACGCAACCCGAAGGGTCAAACCCTTATTCTCATCTTTTGATAGTGGCACAAAGGGCCTGAGCTCCGGAACAAAAGAGCCGACGAGAAATGAAAGCCACGAGTGTCATTTACAACAACGTTTCCCGAACGTTGGGTCAACGTTGACCCAACGTTGTATACTAATAATAACCCTATATTATAATAATACTAATAACACCCCTATATTATACAATACTAATAACCCTATATTATATGAAACTAATAATAACAACCCTATATTATACAATACTAATAACACCCCTATATTATATTAAACTAATAATAACAACCCTATATTATACAATACTAATAACCCTATATTATATGAAACTAATAATAACAACCCTATATTATACAATACTAATAACCCTATATTATATGAAACTAATAATAACAACCCTATATTATACAATACTAATAACACCCCTATATTATATAATACTAATAACAACCCTATATTATAATATACTAATAACACCCCTATATTATATGAAACTAATAATAACAACCCTATATTATACAATACTAATAACCCTATATTATATGAAACTAATAATAACAACCCTATATTATACAATACTAATAACCCTATATTATATGAAACTAATAATAACAACCCTATATTATACAATACTAATAACACCCCTATATTATATACTACTAATAACAAGCCTATATTATAATATACTAATAACAACCCTATATTATATGAAACTAATAATAACAACCCTATATTATACAATACTAATAATCCTATATTATATGAAACTAATAATAACAACCCTATATTATACAATACTAATAACCCTATATTATATGAAACTAATAATAACAACCCTATATTATACAATACTAATAACCCTATATTATATAATACTAATAATAACAACCCTATATTATACAATACTAATAATCCTATATTATATGAAACTAATAATAACAACCCTATATTATACAATACTAATAACCCTATATTATACAATACTAATAACCCTATATTATATAATACTAAGAATTTTCATAATCAACGTTTTTGGGTTTAGATCACGTTATTTATAAATGTGTCGTAACCCTCCACCACCCGACACGGCCAATCAGTAAAAAAGTGTCACCTTGACAAAAAGTTTATACTTTAGTTGTTTACGTGGTGGTTTTAGTTACTGCAGCTACATACTATTAACACTCCTTCCCTTTATTAATGCTACCCATATCCCCTCCCTTTGATGCTGCTAATCCTGCATAATGCACGGGCATAAGTAGTACTAATCACATACCTGCATTTCCCATATCCCCTCCCTTTGATGCTGCTAATCCTGCATAATGCACGGACATAAGTAGTACTAATCACATACCTGCATTTCCCATATCCCCTCCCTTTGATGCTGCTAATCCTGCATAATGCACGGGCATAAGTAGTACTAATCACATACCTGCATTTCCCATATCCCCTCCCTTTGATGCTGCTAATCCTGCATAATGCACGGGCATAAGTAGTACTAATCACATACCTGCATTTCCCATATCCCCTCCCTTTGATGCTGCTAATCCTGCATAATGCACGAGCATAAGTAGTACTAATCACATACCTGCATTTCCCATAAATATGCTAAATTCCTCTTGATATGCAAATTATTTTGTCAAGGCGCCCTTCCCCCCCCTTCCAACCCAGCTTAAATATACGCTCTAAGCATGGTGCTGTTTCATTCAGACGCTGTCTCCCCGACAGACCTGGTCTTCACCTGAGGACGGCTGCTTGCGTTGTGGCCGAAACGTCGTGAGAATTATTGTATTATGTTTTATTTTATTATTTTATTGTTTCCATTCTACGTGACTTTACCGAAAGAACCAAGAAGAAAAAAGACAAATAGTTCACTGCTTTAGCCCACCGGTGTGTCGAAGCGTGAAACCACAACATTTACAATTTGAGTAGTGCGACGTTTCGCTGGTAATTGCATCCAGCATCATCGGGCAATTCGCCAGAATGGTAATAATAACCCTATATTATGAAAATACTAATAACGAACATATATAATAATAACCCTACGTGTCTTGAATTTTGGCCCACCCTGTATTATAATAACAACCCCGTGTCCTGAACATTTGGCCATGCTGTGTGTGTCTCCGATTTACAAAAGCTTTGAGATAGTAAGGTGCTAATTCATGACAATTATTAATTAGATTGTTACCACGTCGTCGCCATTCATGCTAATCCCGATGACTTATTGACCTGATTTTTAATACACGTGATAGGCGTAGCAGCAGGCTTTCGGCGACCAATGTTATCCATAATAAAGGTTTCTAAATGGGACCTTTTTTTGTTGCAAGTATCAAAGTCTGAAAAAATCAGAACAGGGACCGCCTTTGCCAGTACCAAAATATGACAAGAGGTTTTCCCATTTTTTCTGCCAACTTAACAGCTCTTAAGATGTTAAATCTACCAAACTCAAACCTACTCTTTGATTCTTTCAGTAAATTTCGATTTAAAGCTTTCGTGACTGCAGGGATTCATATTCTTGGTTCTCTCGGTAAAGTCACGTAGAAGGGAAATAAAAAAATAAAAAAATAAAAAATTCTCACGACGTTTCGATTGCAACACAAGCAATCATCATCATGTGTGAAAACCACAGCAAGACATTTTTTTTTAAAGTGGCGATTGTTCTTAACGTTAGCACCACGGACAGCGTGACTTTACCGAAAAAACCAAAGAGTAATTCCTGCAGTCATGAATGCTTCAAATCAAAACTGAAACCTTTTGCAAGGAATCATATCCGCATTTTGTTTTAATTACTGCCAGAAAGGGTGAGCACCTATGATTATTTTTTTCACGTGAAGGTTACCCCCCTCTCTGGGCTAGATCGTCACCGCCGCCGACTGGTGCAGATTGTGTCGCTTTAAAAGCAAAGCGTGGCCGCTCCGTCGCTAGTGCGGCCGCGCTGACCGGCTGAGCGTCGAAGAAGCAATTAAAAGACGCGGCAACGTTTCTACGGCTGTGACCTATTGCCCTGGTGGTGGCCTATTGACCTCGGGGCTTTTAATCCGCAGAGGGGGGGGTCTGCAATGCAATAGGTCACTGGAGGTAACCTATTGACCTTGGGGAATCCAGAGGCGGTTTGCAATGCATTGGCAGTAACCTATTGACCACAGGTCATGTAATCTGCAGAGGGCGTCCGCAATGCAATAGGCCGCTGGTGATGACCTATTGACCTTGGGGAATCTACAGAGGCGGTCCGGAATGCAATAGGCTGCTGGCGATGACCTATTGACCTCGGGCGCTTGTCATCCGCAGAGTGGTGAGTCTGCAATGCAATGGATTGGGGGAATGACCTATTGACCAGAGTCCTTTTAAATCCGCAGAGGTGGGGGGGGGGGGGCAGTGGGGAAATCCAGCAAATGGAGACCAACGCGTCCACCAACGCCTCCTCGGCTCCCAGCTCCGCCTCCCTGTCGGACCTCATCGTCATGGTCACCGTCCTGAGCGAGTCTCCCGCCTTCACCCACTTCGCCTTCGCCGCCATCCTCCTCATATACGTCGCCACGGTGGCGGGCAACTCACTGCTCTGCCTCGTCGTGTGCCGCACGCCGAGCCTCCACCGGCCGATGCACGTGCTCGTCGCCCTCCTCTGCGCCACCGACCTGGTCGAGGCCACCAACTCGCTGCCGAGGATCATGAGCAACCTCGCCGCGTCCAACCGCATGTCGCTCGCCGAGTGCGTCGCCCAGATGTTCTTCCTGCACGTCACCGTGCGCACCCAGGCCTACGTCCTCGCCCTCATGGCGCTCGACCGCTACGCCGCCGTCGTACGCCCGCTGCGCTACCGCTCGCTCGTGACGGTGGGCCGCGTGGCTCGCGCCTTCGCGGTCGCGGTGGCCGCCGCCACCGTGCCCATCGTGGGCTACGTGGCCGTCGCGCTGCGTCTCGACTACTGCCGGGAGCGCGTCACGTCGGCGCCCAACTGCGACTTCCTTGTGCTCAGCAACCTGTCGTGCGGCGACCTCTCGCTCAACGCGGCGCTCGCCTACGCCAACGTGGCGTCGGGCATCGCCCTGCCCCTCGCCGTCATCGCCGTGGCCTACGCGCTCGTCCTGCGCGAGTGCTCCAGGCAGGCGGCGGCGGCGGGCGGCGGCGTTGGTGGCAGCGGTGGCACCGTTGGTGGCAGCGGTGGGTCCGGCGCCGCCAAGGCCCGGCGCACGTGCGTCACCCACCTCGTCGTCGTCGCCGTCTACTTCGGCTCAATCTTCTTCACGGTGGCGAGCGGACTGCGCGCCTTCTCGGCCGTGCCGCGGGACGTGCGCGTGCCCCTGCAGGCGCTCCAGTACGTCCTGCCGCCCGCGCTCAACCCCATCGTCTACGGCTTGCGCACCGCCGAGATCCGACGGCGGCTGTTCGGCGCGCCCTCCGCCGTGCGGGCGGCGGTAGGGCATGCGTAAGGTGGACACTTGTGTCGTGATTTTATTTATTTTATTTCATACCTACGTGACTTTACCGAAAGAACCAAATCGTAAGTTGTTATTCATAATAAAGGTTTTTGCGTTGGATCGCGTAAGTATAAATTTGTCATAAACCTCCACCGCCAATAATATTGGTCGCGAAAGGCTACGTGTTAGACGTTGTTGTTTCACTCTTTAAGTTAATGTCGTACCTGTTTTCATTAGCAATGTTAATTTTAAAAAATTGAAACGCATCTTGCGTGAATGTTAACAACGGAAGTCGGTTTTAAGGTGTCGACAAAGATGTGATTTGCGTTCAAATAAATATTTAAAATATAACAACACTGTGTCCTGACTTTGGAGCAAATCAGTTTTCAGTTTCATTGATTAGGTATAACCCTGTGAGCCATGCGGCTCTTGACTCGGGTGCAACCGCAAGAACAAAAACGTGAACAAGAAACATTTTATAGTGGCTATGCACAACAGGAAAATCCAGGAAAAAACAGCAAAGTCTTCCAAAAAACGCACCGCATTTCAACGCTGTGTGCAAAAAATCCCAGTGGGATGCAAGTCAAACAATAACAACCGTAAGACAATTTAGATGACCGCGTTTGTGAATATGCGTGTGAATAGTTACACTATCAGTAACTATTGAGTAATCCTACAAGGTGTTGGATAAAGACGGACCCCATTTCAAAGCAGTATATTTCACGATGGCAACATGTTACAATTACACAAAAAGTTACGAATGGTTTAATGAGTTATCAAGTTTTACTAACCATTTTATAAAGGCTTTATGTGCCCTCCACCTGCTGTACGGACAACATCGAAACGATAGTTGAATTTCTCCCAAACGCCTCTCAGTGTCTTCTTCCACTGAAATCACTGCTGCCGTGATTCTGTTTTTGAGGTCATCCAGATTAGTCGCTAATGGTGGCACAAAAACACGGTCTTTGACGTATCCCCACAAGAAAAAGTCGCAGGGTGTGATGATGTCTGGGGATCTTGGGGGCCAAGAGTGTAGCGCCAAGTCTTGGGGTCCCGTGCCACCTATCCAACATTGAGGCGGTGCGTCATTAAGAAAACGCCGATCCTGCAGATGCCAATATGGCGGTGCTCTGTCTTGCTGAAAAATGAAGTCATCAGAATAATTGATTTTTTACCCTTTTATCTGGCAACAAAACTGACACCTTTTTTTTTACAAGGCGTCATGTTTGTATTGACCACAATACCTGCAGTCTGAATGCAAACAAAAAACACAACTCTGATAATGTATGCACTGTCCTTGAAATTGATTGGTCCACACCCGAGACAGCTTTCCTTAGAGCCTAGTTTCACATGGTGTTGGACCAGATGACGCCAAAAGGCGCACATACATTATCAGAGTTGTGTTTTTTGTCTGCATTCCGACTGCAGGTATTGTGGTCAATGCAAACATGACTCCTTGTAAAAAAGGTGTCAGTTTTGTTGCCAGATAAAAGGGTAAAAAATCAATTATCATATTTTGCTACTGGCAAAGGAGGTTCCAATGGAAGTCATCGGAAGTTCAAGTGGTAAGAGTTTCATTCATGGGCGGTTCGTGGTTGCAGAGATATTGCTGCTAATGATGATGATGATAATTACGACGCGGCTACTCATGATGCCGATGAGGATTCTGCTGATGACACTTATGATGATGAGAATTATGCCGCTGCCGCTGGGTCCGATGTTTTGAAGCACCCTGGATGATAAAAATAATAATAACCCGATGTGTCCTGATTTGTGGGCCACCCCGAATCTATTTTAAGATGATTCTTATTCTCACATTGAAGGTACTGATTAGGCCTGGCTCTAATATATATATGTAATGTGAGGTTATATCCGGGTCGTTGACGGATTACAACTCGTCACAACGATTGACTCTACCGGTCCTGGTTCATAGCCAATGGGGGGAAGTCTAGGGGCGTGGTTCTGACGTAATGGAAAGGTGACAGCTGGTTGTAGAGGATTGGTTCTGCTGGCTTTAGCCACAGCCAATAGGGAGACGAGTCAGGGGAGTGGTCCCGGGAGCCTCTGGAATATTCCATAGAGGCTAACCAGGATTGGTGGAAACGTACCACGTGACCCGGATATTAAAGAGGGGTGGAGACGGACGACACGTGGTCAGAACGGGAACGAACAGAGGAAAGGGGCCACGCGGGAGCGGGGCTCCGGGTTGCCACGTGGCAGTGCGTTTCTCTCTATCTATCCCTCTCACGCTGCCTGTCAGCAGCGTGAAGGAAAGCTGTAATGCAAAGTTGAATAAAAGACCGGATTCCAGAAGTCGCCTCAACGACCTTTATTACATATATATGAAAAAAAAAATCTTAGCGATCCGCCAAAGTTTTAACAGTCAACTGCCGACGATGTAGACATGTCGATTCTATTGCCACGGGTAAACATCAGACTTGAGTCTCCACATTGGAGACACACACAGAGACTTGTGGAATCTTTCGCTGAATAAAGATCACAATTTCGATTTAAAGCTTTCGTGACTGCAGGGATTCATCTTCTTGGTTTTTTTGGTAAAGTCACGTAGAAGGGAAATAATAAAATAAAATAAAAACATAATAAACCCCCCCGCCCACCTCCTACGCATTCCACAAGTAATGACTAATCCCATATCTGCATTTCCCATAAATATGCTAAATTCCTCTTGATATGCCAATTATTTTGTCAAGGCGCTCTTCCCCCTCCAACCCAGCTTAAATATACGCTGCCAATCCTGGTGGTGTTTCATTCAGATGCTGTCTTTCCAACAGACCTGTTCTTCACCTGAGGACGGCTGCTTGCGTTGTGGCCGAAACGTCGTGAGAATTATTTTATTATGTTAGATTTTTATTACTTTATTATTTCCCTTCTACGTGACTTTACCGAAAGAACCAAGAAGATGAATCCCTGCAGTCACGAAAGCTTTAAATAAAAAATCAAAGTCTATGTGTTTACAGTTTTAAATAAAATGTTGGAAAAATTTAGTAATTCATGTGTATATCGCTCAACACTATAACTATCATGGGGGTATGATTTGGCCTAGAGGGGCATAATTTGGCCTAGGCCATAATATACCCTGGGTATAATGTAGCCTAGGCCGTTTTAACCCCGGGTATACTACGGCCTGGGGGTATGCTACGACCTATGGGTATACTACGGCCTGTTACAGCGGTCATAAGCACACTGCCCAGATATTGGAAACTCTCCACACACACCCACACACACACCCACCCACACACATACCCACACACAACAACAACAACCGCCATTCGCCACGAAGTGGCGGTAATGTCACCACGACGCTTGTGCCAGGCCATGTGCACCTTGAGGCCACGTGAAGTGTCGAACGCCCGCTGGCAGGAGGTCACGGGGCAGACCCAGGTGCCACGGGTCGACTGACTGAGATGACCGAGATGACTAGCTGATGCACCACCTGTGCCCCCTACGGTGCCAACTTGCTGTGCTTTAACCACCCGGCGCTCCGCTCGTTGTTGTGAGCGTCACTCCTCCGCTCTCCGTTGTTGCTGGAGGGCGACTGCCTCCAACTGCCGAGTAGCATCCTTCACGAGCCTCCTCCACAGAGGCCGATCTTGACACCACTGGTATCAGTCATCGGCAAGTCCACTCAGCTTCACGTCCTCCTGTACCACATCACTCCATCTCTTCTCTAGCCCGTGCCGCACCCGTTTAGCCCCCTCGATCCGAAGCTGTTTAGGCATGCGGTGGCTGGGCATGCGGGCTACATGACCCAGCCAACGAAGCCTTGCCTGCCGGAGAAGCTCACCGATGGGACTTTGCCCAGATCTTTCAAGGATTTGTGAACTCCTCAACCCCAGGATGGATCATAGGCAGGCCAGCCTAAATGTTTCTAACCGGCGAAGATCCTCCATTAGGGGGGTCCACGTTTCGCAAGCGTAGAGAAGGGAGGGAATGACCGAGGCCGAGAAGACCTGAAGCTTCATGCGGAGCGACAGACCAGGTAGCTTCCACACAGCGTTACGCAATCGATGAATAGATTATGCCGCTCGACTGATTTGGAGTGAGACCTCTGCTGTTAAACTGGAGCCGGTCATACGCACGCTGCCCAGGTATGGGAAACTCTCCACAAACACCCACCCACACACACACCCACACACCCACACACCCACACACCCACACACACACCCACCCACACACACACCCACACACTCACACACACACACACACCCACACACTCACACACACACACCCACCCACACCCACCCACACACACCCACACACTCACACACCCACACACACACCACACACACCACACACACCCACACATACACCCACCCACCCACACAACCACACACACACACACCTACACACACACACCCACACACACCGACACACACCCACACTCACACAACAACAACAACAACTGCCATTCGCCACTAAGTGGCGGTGACGTCACCACGACGCTTGTGCCAGGCCAAGTGCACCTTGAGGCCACGTGAAGTGTCAAACGCCCGCTGGCAGGAGGTCACGGGGCAGACCCAGCAGGTGCCACGGGTCGACTGACCGAGATGACCGAGATGACTGGCCGATGCACCACCTGTGCCCCCTACTGTACCAACTTGCGGTGCTTTAGCAACCCGGCGCTTCGCTCGTTGTTGTGAGCGTCGCTCCTCCGCCCTCCGTTGTTGTTGGAGGGCGACTGCCTCCAACTGCTCAGTAGCGTCCTTCACGAGCCTCCTCCACAGAGGCCGATCTTGACACCGCTGGTACCAGTCATCGGCAAATCCACTCAGCTCCACGTCCTCCTGTACCACATCACTCCATCTCTTCTCTAGCCCGTGCCGCGCCCGTTTAGCCCCCTCGATCCGGCCGAACAAAAGCTGTTTAGGCATGCGGTAGCTGGGCATGCGGGCTACATGACCCAGCCAACGCAGCCTTGCCTGCCGGAGGAGCTCACCGATGGGACTTTGCCCAGATCTTTCAAGGATTTGTGAGCTCCTCACACAATCCAG